AAGCACTAAGTATTCACTTAACAGTATCAGGGAAATTCCCTCCAGTCTGGCTACAGAGAAACTACCTTTACTGACTGTTCTGGAATTCTGTAATTCTTTAGCATTGTGGAAGCAGCCACCTGTTTGAACATGATCAGATTAGTTCTGGATGACAGCAGGATGAAGTAGAAAGCTGTTAGGCTCTGGCTCAGGTAAAATGAGGTTCGAATCTTATCTTTGCTGCTTACCTGTGAGATCTTAGCCAAGTGAATGCACCTTCCTCAGCTTTTTGTTCTGTTTTTGAACCTCTCTCAGCTTGATCTGGAAGTGGGGATATTACTACCATCCTGGAAGTCATGAATGGACAGCATGTGTGTGGAGACCTGGAGGTTCTCTGTCAATGAGCACTTCCTCTCAAATTCAGAGGTGCCTAGAATGGTGTGCCCCAGGTTATGATGCTGAATGTACTGTATCTAGTTCGCTTTGGCACTGAATCAAACAGTGCACAGGGTGTCTTTGTAAGCATAACTCTCTGTGCCACATGTCTGTGGTGTGATTTAACCAGTGTCCCCTTTAGCGTTTTGGGGGAGGGCAACGCTCGAGTATAACTCTGCTGATGAACAAATTTACCCGTGACTCAGGTAGCCTGATTGTTCGAGTCTGACAAAGTCCTGCCTGCCTCTCATTCTCTTGAGAGGAGCTCGGCCCTTCTCTCCGAATCTTTCCTTCCTCTTGCCTTTGAAGAAACAAAACAAAGCAAAACTTCCCCAAATTGGTGGAAGAAGTGATAACCAAGCACTGTATGATTCTAATCTAATGTCATCTGGCTTTAATTTAATACTACAAATAAATCATTAAACCATGCCAGAAATGAAACATGTAGACATTATCATATGGTTTATTACTGTGGGATAGATTAGCAGTTCCAGACCATGCTTTGAAAACATCAGTCTTCACTAACATGTCAAGACCATTACTAAAATCTTCCAGCTGTTTTCTTAGTTCACGACTTTATCTTTTTCATGCAAATCCTATACAAGTGTCTGTGAGGATTTGCAGGAAGTAGGTAATGTTCTAGAAATATTTTCTTAGTTTCATAGTTTTTGGATTAAATATTGTCAATTTCGTTTAATTTTTTTGTTTTATTCTGGGTAATTTGGAAATAAGGTACAGAATATTACCTAGTGTTTATTAAAACTGTGGGACTAAACCATCGCTACACTGCGTCTCAGAGTGTTCTTGCCAGTCCTGTTCCACAGATGTTTTTTCCTTGAGGTTATCATCTCCCCACAGATGCACACCATGTTTTGACTTTAATTGGCATAAATCAGCACAGATAGATGGCATTTGCACTTGTTTCCAGACCCACTAGTTTAGCTACATACATTGGATTTAAGATGAAAGGAGTTCCTATAGTCACTGTTGTGATGAACAAATAAGTAGAACCCAAGTGGCCACCACTGCTGAGGACACCCTCCTATATTGTCCCTTAATCACCAGCCACCTGAATCTGGACTCCAGAAAAGTTTGGAGTGAATTTCATTGTCACTGGGGAAAGATTTCTGGTGAAAGTGACACCAGCAATCTCAGGGCATGGTGGAGTGTAGGGAGGATTGTAAGATTCAAAGAGCATTTTTAATTATCCATGAAAATGAAAAAGAAAAGTACGAACCTTTCCTTTTGCAGTCCAGCGTTTGTATAGGAAACACATAATTGTGGCAAAGCGTCGAGTCCACCTCAGGCTTGATGACTGGGGATCTCCCTGACACTTGGGGTTTCGGGTCCAGTTGTTCTTTTTCTTCTTCATTACATAACTGTTCAGATGTTATCTGCCGCAGTTTTTTATTTTTTAGTTCTTGTGGGCTATTGCACTTGGCATAGTTTCCCAAATTTCGGTTCCTTGGAATCTGCAACATTGAAATAAGCGTTTCAATCTCACAAGTACAGTGCCAGGGGTTGTCATAAAGACGCAGGTAGCTCAGGAGAGGTGTATAAATGAACACCTCCTCCGTCAAGACTTTGATCTGGTTGTGCTGCAGTAAGAGGGTGGTAAGTTTGTTTAAACCAAAGAACGCCTCACTCTCAATTTTGGAGATCTCATTCTGTTGCAGGTCCAGGCTTTTCAGCTTTTTAAACTTGGAAAACATGTTGTTCTTCAGTATGCGGATCTTGTTTCTTGCTAACAGCATGTGCAGCAAATCTTGAGGCCAGTCAGGCAGCACATAAACTAACTTTCTTTCTTGACAATCTAAGAATTTCTCGTGGAGGTACGTGTACACGTCACAGGGGAGGCCCGGTGCGTAGCGTTTGACCGGGTTGGAGCCTCTTCGGCCCCCACCTACCCGGCCATGATTCACGCGGCTTCTCAGACCGCCTGGGCTTGCTTTGCGCAGCTCAGCAGCTTTGAAAAAGCAGAGCAAGATTACAATGGTAACTACGCGCATCCTGACATCCAGCTGGTCCCAGTTACTTGGTGTGACAGATGGAACAATGAAAGTATTCCTTTGAAATCCAAGTTTGGGTAATCGTAACTAATGCAGACCAGGAGCAATGAGATCCAGCTGGGGAAGTGGCGTCCCTATGTTGGAAGAGAAAAAAACTATTAAAAGTTGAAGACCACTGTAAGTGCTGTGTTACTGACATATCATCACATTCTTTTTTAAGGCAAAGGCCTTCCAGTTAACAAAGGTGCTCACAGAACAGTGGCGAAGAAGGCTCTTCGCCTTCTTCCTAGCCTGCTTTAGAGGCCAAATGTTTGTGTCCTGAGTTTGAATGAAGGCTTTCCTACCTGCTTAACTGAATGAACACGGGCTGATTATTTAACTTCATCTCCAGTATCTGTGAAATGGGACAAGGCTATCTCCAAGTGTTGTTGGGAGGATGATAGGCTGATGCACGTGAAATGCTTCATAATGCCCATCCCAGCGGGAGTACTCTACAAATGCTGGGGCTCAGCATGATGAAAACGGAAACCTGTGGTTCTTCATCACATCGGATTTAAGAAATTAAATGATTTCTCCATGCAGCCTTGAGAGGTGCAAACAAGAGTAGGACTTGGAGGGCTGTCTTCCTGAGCTTATTTTTCTCTTTCCTTTACTGTCTCAGTCACCAAACATGTAGAGTGTGGGATCCAGAGATACCAAGAGTAAATGGCACTGTCCTTGTCATCTCCTGTATGTCCTGGCTCAAATGTCATCTCAGTGAAGCCTTCTCTGTCAGTCCCATTTTAACTTGCACCCTCCCCCTTGCTGGCTCCTTCCAATCCCCTTTCTTATTTTTCTCCATAGGACTTATCACCATCTGTCAGAGTAGACCTGGTCTTTTAATTCTTTTGTTTACTGTCAATGTCCCCACCTCCAACCAGAAAGTAAACTACATAAGGGCAAGACTTTTTGTCTATTTTGTTCACTGCTGTATTTCCTTGGTAAATATTTGTTGAAGGGATGAATTATATCCTAAATAACCATTCTATTCCATAAGAACATTTATCTCCTAAACTTACATTGTTTGGGGATTCTGTTATTTCCTTACTAATTATTACTGGTAACTTCCAAGATCTGCACCTTTTTAAGAATTATTTTCATTTTTTAAAAATTCTAAAGTCTTTCTGGTTTATATTTATCAGTTAGACACAGTTCACTCTTGGCAAAGGAAGAAATGTTTAAAATGGATTTATAGGCTCAATGCCTGTAGCTCAGTGGCTAGGGTGTCAGCCACATACACTGGAGCTGGTGGGTTCAAATCCAGCCTGGGATTGTCAAACAACAATGACAACTACAACCAAAAAATAGCCGGGAGTTGTGGCATGCTCCTGTAGTCCCAGCTACTTGGGAGGCTGAGGCAAGAGAATCGCTTAAGCTCAAGAGTTTGAGGTTGCTGTGAGCTGTGATACCACACCCCTTTACCCAGGTGACAGCTTGAGACTCTGTCTCAAAGAAAATAATAATAAATAAAAATAAAGTGGATTCATAACTGCTGTGTCTGTTGTCATTAATGTGGGGTTATGTGGTTGTGAGCAGCAATGTGTGTTTTCTCATCATGTGGCAGTTGAATGCCAGGATCACACCCTTGCCTGGAGTTTTCCTGCTTCATGGGCTCCACCAGCTAGAATGCCTCCCCTCTGCTTTGCCTCAGGTGTTCCTCCCATTCGCTGGTTTGTGTGTCCTCTCCAGCTGCTCTCTTCTCACATTGGGAATTTTATTTGCTGTCTGCCCAGACTTGGGGCACTCATTGGGTAACACTTTGCCATCTAGCTGTTTGTATACATATCTCAGCTCCCCTGAGAGAGCCTAAGCTGGGCAGTGGCCTCTGGTCCTAGAGCTAATCAGGCACTTAGCCTCTCCAAAATCCCCAGTTCTCAGTTTGCAATTCATTGTAAATTTTATGTAAATCTAACCTTAAAAAATAACACATTTTGCTTATTATGCATGCTGAATCATTTATGATATGCATGTTGAAGTATTAGGGGCAAGTATGGTAGAGTCTGTGGTTTACTTTGAAATGCATAAAAAAGACAGGTTGAGGCAATGGAGAAATGGATTGATGGGCCAACATGTGATAAAGCAAATATAGTAAAATATAAGTTAAAATCTAGGTGGTAGGTAGATATTTATTTTATAATTCTTACTACTTTCGTGTATGTTTGAAAATTTTCATAATAAAATGTTGAAACATGAACCAAAAAAGCATGCAAAAAAGCATGAATAAAAAAGCATGCAGGTTGGCTTTCTTCAAGTGCTTCTAAGCTAAGAGCTCTAGGTATATAGTGTTTTTCCCAAAAATAGTGTTTTACTGTTTTCTCCTCCCTGCTATAATCCTCAAATAATAAACATTTTTACATTTTAATTTTGAAGCCAAAAGAAATAATTTTTCTGGGAAAAGAAACCATATACTTAGAACTTACTTGCTAAGGTTTTTGTTGCTTTTCTAATGAATATATTGCATTGAATGTAGGATACAAAAACCTTAAGTTTGAACATTTATAATATGTTGTTTAATGATGTGTACCTTGTTTGATTTAGGTGCCTGTAAAAACTTGCAAGAGTTGAATGTCTCTGACTGCTCGACACTAACGGTGAGTATAAGTGCTTATTTTACTGTTGTTTATATAGATTTGGACGTGAGGCAGTAGAGTGCCAATATACACAGAATACATGCCTGTGTACTCATTTAGGATGAAATGTGGAAAAAGGCAAACTATTTTAAACACTGGCAAAAAATTTTATTAATGCTTCATCTGTATAACACTATTATTAATCTTACGGATGTATACCCAGTGTTGGAGCCTCTGGCAAGTGGAAATTCTTCAACGATCACACAAATATGAACTGTACTTATATTTAATGCTATGTGTGTATGAGATAAAAAAGCAAGCCCCGGCAAAGATGATAAACTCCTCTTACTGGTCCTCATGGCTGTCAGTGGCTGTGCCAAAGGAGACATGGGAATGAGCATGTATCCTTGGCTGCTGCCTTCCTGGTCCCTGTCTGCCCGCACTCTGTCTTCTGCTCTGTGAGCATTCTTTCTAAAAGGCAGATCTGACAGCTTTATTCTCATCCTCCGTTAACTCTGCCCATACTGTCATCTACACTATTGGATAAGGTCAGAGCTCTTTAATATCACTGGAACTTGGACACTCTCTGGTTTTGCCTCTCCCTCCCTCTCCAGCCTCATCACATTCCACTTCTTGTGCACACAGTTGCGGTGATCATGCTGCTGAGCTCGCTTTGCTGCAGACTCCAAGTTGCTTCTTGCAGCTTTGCATTTGCTCTTGGTCTTTCCTTGGAATGCTCTTTCTTTTTGTCCTCAAGTAGTGCTTCCACTTTGTCAGGCTCGAAGGCTTATTGTATACATTACCTCCTCTATCAAGGCATCACTGGCTCCCAGCACTGGCCTTGCTGTTGCTCCTCTGGGCTCCTGTAATAAGTAGTTCTAACTGTGTGTTTTTGCCTCCTCTACTAGTCTAAGAGACCGAAAGGGTAGGAGATGTGTTTCATTCTTTGTGTCAGTCATAGCACCCAGTGCAAACTTTGGTATATAGTAAATGTTGAATAATGTTTAGTGAATGCAACTATATAGAGAGGCCTAGTAGGCCATGGACAACATCGGCTAGAACTTGAGATTCCATCTTGGGTGGTCATAACTAACATTAGGAGAGTGAGTAAGATCACCTAGAGAGAGAGTGAGAGGAGAAGGGGACTTAACAAGGGAGCTTACTTTTAGGAGAAGGTGAAGGGTATTAAGAAGGAAGAAGAATAATAATAGAAGAAGGTTGAAAACCAAGAGGTATCAAAAAATGCAGGAGAATAAAGAGTCTCAGGAAGAAGTGAGCAAAGTGAGCAGACTGAACAGTGCTGCCTGGATTTGAGAATTAGAAGGTAACTACTGATTTTTGCTAGAACAGCTTTGGTGGGTGTTGGGGCAGACATCTAATTGCAGTGAAGTGAACAAGAGGTGAGAGAGTGAGGCATTAGGTATAAATTGCTCTTCCCAGGAAAGTGCCTAAGGGAGCAGTAGAAGGAAAACAGGCAGGGAAATGGAGGCCCGATGGAGACTCAGGAGAATGGAGCAAGTCTCTAAGGAGACAGGAGGGACTAGGATGCACAGCCTGATTGTCTGATACCCCTCATTAAGTACCAACTCCAGGATGAAGGCCACGATGGTTGGCACAGTGAGAATGTCATGAACTGCACCCTCTTGCTACCTCCCAGCCTCATCTTTATAGTTATCTCAAATTTCTACTCTATTTCAATGTTGACTCACTTAAAGTTCCCTGAGCATGTTTATGCTACTTCCATTATGTCTTTGAATCCATTTTCCTACCTGCCTAAGTGACCACACTTCCTTTCTTACCACCCCATCCCAACCTAGCTAAGACTTGCTCACTCTTTAGAACACTCTTCAACTCCATTGGGTCTTTCCATTCACTTTTTCCCCCCACTGACCTTTAAAATATAGCCTTATTGACATATAAATAAATTTATATTGAGATTAAATTTACCTATTTAAAGTGTACAATTTAATGGATTTGGAATATTCAGAGTTGTGCAATGATCTCTATAACCAATTTTAGAACATTTTTCCTCACCCCCAAAAGAGCCCATAGTAATAGTCACCCCTCATTTTCTCCCAACCCCCTCAGTCCTATGCAATCACATTAACTTTTTGACAGAATTAATTTTTCCTTCTTGGCTACATCTGTGGTTTCAGTACTTCAGCACTTACACTTTCCACTCTGTTATACTTATGCGTACATACATGTCTCCCATTTGAGAACTGAGAGCTCCTTGAAAAATCCTCCTTTAGTGATTTTTCCCCCATGAAATTTATTCTCCCATTTTCATAATAAAACATCTTTTTGAAGGAGGACATTATACATATAAATAAAATGGGTTTGTAAAAATAGTAAAACCCTTAGAACGCTTCTGTTTCTTACATCAATACACAAATTAAATGTTTAAATTAGCTTTTGATCCCTGTCCACTAGAACATAGGGAGCTAGTCTGGACTATAAAGTAAGCATCTTGCCATGGGATTATACTTCTACATAAATAAGCTGCTGCTTTATGTGTGAAAGTGCCCTCAAGAGTGATCCTCAAGGGCTTTCAGCTTTGAGGAGGCCAGGGTGCAACTTTCTTTGGTCGTCTGAATCCGGGTTCTTCCAACACCAACCACCTCCACCATGCCACCTAAGTTCAACCCCAAAGAGATCAAAGTTGTGTACTTGAGGTGCATTGGTGGTGAAGTTGGTGCCACATCTGCCCTGGCCCCCAACAAGATCAGCTCCCTGGGTTTGTTTCCATAAAAGGTTGGTGATGACATCGCCAAGGCAACCGGTGACTGGAAGAGTCTGAGGATTACAGTGAAACTGACTATCCAGAACAGACAGGCCCAGATTGAAGTGGTACCGTCTACCTCAGCCCTCATCATCAAAGCCCTCAACGAACTACCAAGAGACAGATAGAAATAGAAAAACATTAAACACAACAGAAATATCATTTTCGATGAGATTGTCAACATTGCCAGACAGTTGTGGCACCAATCTTTAGCCAGGGAACTCTCTGGAAACATTAAAGAGATTCTGTCTGTGGGCTGCAATGTTGATGGCTGCCACCTTCATGACATCATAGATGACATCAACAGTGGTGCCCTAGAATGCCTAGCTAGTTAAAAAGTACAAAGGAAAATGTTTCAATAAAAGATCATTTGAAACCCCCCAAAAAACCAAAAAAAAAAACAAAAAACCCAGAAAACAACAATAAAAAAAAGAGTGACCCACAAGAAATTGATGTGTGTCAAAGACCACATCAGAGAAAAATATTCTACTTTTCTCCAGTTGTGCCTAACTTTCTCTACCAGCAGAGTGAACATGGGCTTCTCCTGAAAAGAGATTTAAAATCTTTACTGCCGTATCCTCCAGATGTCTGCCTGTGGTTATAATGAGGTTGTTTGTCAAATGGATTCATCCTTTCTGTGGATATTTTTAGTACCTATGTTAAATATATTCTGCTAGGTGCTAGAAGGAATGTTATTAATAAATGAATTGGTTTTCAGTTCTTTCCCTCAGAGAGCTTCAGTTCTGCATTTGGGTATAAGATCATATTTTTTGAATCTGGCCTTCTAGTAGGAAAATCAAAACAATGTCAGATGCAGTGAATTTGTGAACATCAAAGTCTTGCCCAATTTTGGAGTCTAATAATGTGCAGGGATGATAATTTTATCCAGCTACATTTTCCTATTGTTTTTTTTCCTTCAAGACATAGACTGGGGGATGGGCTTTCATTTAAGGAGTTGGGTAACATTCATTCAAAGAGCTTTGATTTCTAACTTTGTCTTATGAAATATATTACATTCAGAAGGATTTAAGTACATTGTGGACAAATTCACAACTCATTTTTCAGTGTAGGCACTCAAACAGTTTTTGCATTCATGTGTTTAAAGATTTGAGTATTGAATCTTGACTTCTTTTAAATACTGAGAATGAGAGTGATCTGAAGTTGTTTGAATGTCAACACTCCTCCAGGCAGGAAAATGCGGAGAATGGATTGCCTCATCATCTCAAAGGGAGTCAGGTTTGTTTTGGGTACATAAATCATACTCTACCTTCTTCTTCCTGACCCCCACATTTTCATCTTCTCTCTGGCTGCCTCGCTAAGGATATTTAATCCTGCTCTCCCTCCTCTCTTTGCCCCATCTTACTTGCGTTTTTGCCAATGTCTTTCAACATGTGCACAATCACTTTGATACTTGATTAGCACACTGAATGTTTTCAGAGACATTTGTGTGTATTAAAGCCAGTGCCACACATTATGTTTGTTCTCTCCATTCTTTCTGGGAAAATTGTGCTATGCACTTTTAATCTTATCTATGCATGTCCAAATTCTACATTTTGGTGATGGAGTGCCTAGAAAAATTGCTGGCAGCTTGCAGGCAGTGGTAAGTGTACAGTGTTTATCAAAAGCTCTGCACTTGAACTCATGCAGCATTGGTGCATAGAACCTTTCCTATAGCAGAATAACAGAAATTAACAGCTTAAAATAGAAACTTGTATTCTCTCTCATGTATGGTTTGCTGCCCCAGTAAATCAACCAGTTTCTGTTTGAGTGCAGTAGATGCTCTGACCTGACTCCTATATCTGAGGAATGAAATGTTAAATACCTAGGATCCTGCTAAAACCAAATTTTAATGGTGTTGGGATATCTATATTAACCATGCAGAATTCTTCTCCTGTCCACATCTTCTATCCTAGTGGTGATTGCCCACTTCCAGTTGGGTAGATAACCTGCAGTGGTCTTTTTTTTTCAGGAGCAATATAATGTCAAACATTGCATGAACCACAAATACTTAAAACCTAGTTGACTAGTTAGTAGAGCTGGGGAGATTCATCAATCATCATCAAATAAATAAAAATCTTCTGCTACTCACTCTGTTTTCTGTAGAGTGACTTATAGGAAAAGCAACTCATTGCAGTCAAAGCTTCTAATTACCTGATCTTATGAATGTCAATTTAGGGCCCATACTTGAAATCACTGTTTTTCTGCCTTGTGTCACACACACACTATTATCTGACTTTAGTTTCAGCTTTCTGAGGGGAAGGATGCTTGAATCTTAAAGATTCTCCCCCACCCTAACCAACACTAAATTTCATGCCCCAATTGTATGTAGCCTATAGTTTATTTCAGCCATCTCAAACTTACCATAAATTTGGTGAACATCTGTGCAGGCATTTTAATGTATGTGTTTTTAGTTAACAGAGCCACAGAAACTTAATTACATACACATATACACATCCCTATATATATTTGTATAAATATGGATTCACTCTTACTGAAGTCCAGTTGTTGAGAGTGTTTACTATTCCTATCTTTCAGAATGATTTTGGTAAATTTTTTTTTTAATTGAATGGTAACTATGTACATTAATGCACTTCTGGGGTACAGTGTGGGGTTTTTTTTTTTTTTTTTTTTTGAGACAGTGCCTCAAGCTGTCCCCCTGGGCAGAGTGCCGTGGCATTACAGCTCACAGCAACCTCCAACTTCTGGGCTCAAGCGAGTCTCCTGCCTCTGCCTCCCAAGTACCTGGGACCACAGGCGCCCGCCATAACGCCTGGCTGTTTTTTGGTTGCAGCCATCATTGTTGTTTGGCGGGTCCGGGCTGGGGATTCGAACCCGCCACCTTAGGTGTACGTGGCTGGCGCCTTAGCCGGTTGAGCTATAGGCGCCGAGCCCAGTGTGGGGTTTTTACACACAATCCGAAACACTTCCATCAGGTAAATTTTAAAATAGATCAGTTTTTAAAAACTTTTCTGCATCTAAAGAGGTCAAATTTCCTGTCACAGAGTTGAACTTTAAAGAGTTCACATTTTAATGTCATGGGATGAGACTTTATTTCCAAAGGAAGGAAAAAGAATAGAGTAATGCAGTTTCAAGCAAAAACAGGCATCTGTTTAATTTCATTTCAACTATTATCAGGTAAAGATATGAAGGGACCAACTCTTGGATTTATGTATTTTTTGGGAGCAAGAAAAGAGATAATAGATGATGAGGAAGTTGCAAAGCCTGGTAGAATTTGGTAAGATTCTTTCCTCTGTTTTTTTCTTGTGTGTGTGCAGGATGAATCAATGAGACAGATTTCAGAGGGCTGCCCGGGAGTCCTATATCTCAATCTGTCTAACACGAATATCACTAACAGGACGATGAGACTCCTGCCAAGGTAATGCTTGTGTTATTTGCATAACACTGAAAATGATTATGTTACAGGAGGCTCTGGCATTCTCCAGCATACCCCATAGGCAGTGTTCCCTTTGTCAACACCTCACTACTGTGGCACTCATATTCTGACAATGGGGACTGCTGCTTTCAAGTTCCCACACTGAGGCCTGCTCTTTCCCTCCTTGGCAGGCCCACTTTGAATAACTTCTGCGTTGGCCAGCATTGTTGTTGCTCTTGTAGCAACATGCACAGTAGCGTAAGTTAGACTTTGGCTGTCTCTTTCTTCCTGGTCCCCTTCCTGGACATTGCAGCCTGGCTTCTAGGTTCCAGTCTGATGTCTGGGACCTCTCTACAGTAGAGTACCAGCATCCTGCCTCCCTAGATGTTGAGCATTTCTGCCCCAGATTCCCTGTTGCCACTCCTGCAGCCTGTTGATATTCCCAGCACCTCCAGGGAACCTGACACTTGACTATTTATGGACTTTTGATAACCCTGGACACAAATATTGCTTCTCCTCAACCAGCAATTCTTTGGAAGAGAAGAGATAGAAGAACAAAAGAGTTGGTAGAATATTCAAATTTATCACAAATTCATGTCTATTATTCTTTTTTTAAAATTCTTTTTTCTTTTTTTGGAGTTTTTGGCCGGGGCTAGGTTTGAACCCACCACCTCTAGCATATGGGGCCGGCGCCCTACTCCTTTGAGCCACAGGCGCCATCCTCTGTCTATTATTCTTTACTTTCACTATGGAAAGACTAACCAGGGAGAATACATGATCACATTGGGAGAGATGCACATTTGACTTTGGGAGAAGTTTCTCAAACTATTGTGAAAGAATGAACTATTTTTAAGAATATAACTTTTTGAAATCCTTTGAAAAATGACAGTAAGACATTTGGAAAAGCTTAACCAAAAAATCCTGGGTGGTAATTTTCTTTATATTTTTACTCTAACCATTTCCTGCAAATTGCAAGCTTAAAAAAAAAGTGGTACAATATTTTCTGTTTATCCCATTAATTGAGCTGCCACATTTTATTAGTCAAATCCATAAAACCTTCCCTTTGAAATTTCTTCTGTTACTTTTAAACATAGAGAGTCTTCCTCCTTCCGGGCATTTAATATACATTAACTTAATTTTTTTTCTTATTTTTTTTAACTTAAATACATATGGAATTCAATCCAGAATTTATAGAATTTATTTTGGTAGGTGAATAAAATAATTATCTAAATCGGAGGCCACCAAACTACAACTCATGTGATCCAAGGCCTGTTTTTTATCAAATGATGTGTGATTCCTCTATAGATATATCTAAAATTCTTACATAGGCAAGAAATACTTAACACTCATCACTTTCTGATATTCTCCTACATGTTACTATGTACATTCTTGAGGTTCTCTATGCTAGCGTATCTATGTGTGAAAATGCTACAGAATGCTGTGCTACTGCTCATGCCTCAACCTCAGTGACCTGTCATCCTTAGCTTGGAACTTGCCAATATGGAAGCATTTTACACCATGGAAAATGGCAAACATTACAAATCAAAGCTTGATGCATTGTTTTTGTTGATTGTTTAGATTTAAGAAGGTGACAGATACAACAGTTAATGAAGCAAATAAAATTTAAAGGCATGTCATATTTGTAGCTACAACATTCTAAGTAGTACCCAAAATTGAGGAAATATTCTTTCAAGCTATTCTAGAAATATTCTAGAATATTCTAGAAAGCTATTATCTAATTCAGTAAACAAAGCACTGACATCATTATTGATGGACAGGTTTGGACATCTTTGTTATTTTATTTTTGTCTCATTAATGTAAATAAATATGTGCATACTAGAACTATAGTATACTCCTTCTTCATTTGTAACCATTGGTTTGCCTGATACATTTATGAGAGTTTCATTGGTGAAAGTCAATGAAATTATTGTGTGGGAGAATTAATTGGCTACATGGAATTTGCAATGAAGAGTATTATATATTTTATCACTTGAAGTTGTATGTTGCGTATCTATTATATCTATAAAATGGTAAATGTAAAATAGAAAAATTTTATTATAAAATTTATATGTATACTTTTTTGGATAGCCATTTGTTAGATAATTAAAATAAACTAGAGCTAATTATTATTTTTATTATATTTAGTCTCTCTATCAAGAATATAAGTATGCTTCTAAAATTTTTTTCCAAGTTCCTAAATCTTTCCAAAAAATGTTGTTTATTCATATAGATAATTTTTGTGAACGTTTCCTAGGTATCTTTCTAATTTTCATTGTGAATGGTATTTTTCTGATTTTCTCTCACTATATATTTTTTCCTTTTATTAAGTCATATACACATAGATCATGAATACATTTATGCTTTTGTGGAGTATAGTGTGTTGATGTTTTAATACAATTTGGAATGGCTACATGAAACTAATTAATATAGCTTTCACCTCATTTACTTAATTATTGTGTTAAGACATTTATGTTCTATACTTGGTAGATTTGACTTGTACCCTTACAATATGCTCCATAGGTGTGCCCACCGTTTACCTCCCTCTGTTGAACCTCCCCCTATCCCTCCCATCTCCCTCTACTGCTTTCCTTCATCCTGGGCTATAGTTGTGATCTATCTTTCATGAGAAAGTGTGAGTAGTTACAAATTGGTTTCATAAAAGTATTGAGTACATTGGATACTTTCCCTTCCATGCTTGAGATACTTTACTAAGAAGAATATTTTCCAGCTCCATCCATGTAAACATAAAAGAGGTAAAGTCTCCATCCCTTTTTAAGGCTGCATAGTATTCCATGGTATACATATACCACAATTTATTAATCTGTTCATAGGTCAATGGGCACTTAGGCCTCTTCCATGACTTGGCAATTATGAATAGAGCTGCAATGAACAATCTAGTGCAAATATCTTTGTTGCAAAGTGATTTTTGGTCTTTTGGATATATACCTGGTAGAGGAATTGCAGGATCAAATGGCAAGTCTATTTTTATATCCCTGAGTGTTCTCTAAATTTCTCATTTTTGGACTTGGGTATGAAAATTAGTTATCTTTTTGATTAGTTATTTAGTTATCATTTGAGTAATTCAAATGATACTTTCATTTTAAAAGTAAAAAAAATGCTATGAAATTAACTTCTACATAAGAATTTGGGCAAAGCTTATATGATTTGATAACAATTATGGTTTTTACTTTCTGAACAAAGTATTCATATTTTCTTTCTTCTTTGTTCCAGTAATTATTTAGAGGAGAATTTTTGGTTCCATATGGTTGAAGATTCTTTGGCTAAGCTTCTATTTTTAATTTCTCTGGTCAAGAAATATGGACTGAATTATTTCACTTTTTGGAATTTACTGAGAATTCTTGGTAGACTAATTCATAATTAATTTTAGGAAATCATCCATGAAGGTTTAAAACAAAGAGCTTCTTTTAGAGAACAAAATTTCTGTGTTTAGATGTATGCATATATATATATAAACTTCTTGGTGTTATAGTACACTAGTGAGATATTAATCACTTATTATGATCAATCTTTTCTTAATGTTTTGGTATTATTTTTTATATAAAGATTAATAAGTTTAATTATAGATCATATATCTATTCACATAAAATGATACTCTTTATATTGGTCGATGTTTCTTTGCATTGAATTCTTTTTTATCTGCTATATGTATTAATATAGTTGCCTTTGTTTTCTTTGGGTTATGCTTTTTATACAAAACTTTATCTCTTTATTTTAATTTTCGGTCACTGAATTTTAGGTTTTTATCTTACATGCAGCATATAGATAGCTTCTGTTTTTTAAAAACTGGTTTTATTTTTATTATTTTGTTTTATATTTTGGTTTTTATATTACTGCACTATACTCAGTGTTTCTGTTTTTGCCATATGAACTATGTTGTTTACTTGTATAATCTGAAGGTATTTTAAAGGCACCTACACATTCTGTTGTATATTCTGACTAGTGGATAGTTGTATGTTTTTATAAAACATGCTTTAAGATGCAGTTCCCTCATTATTAAAGTCAAAGTAAATAATATTTAGAAGTTTTAACAACTTCTGTGTTAGACAAGTGATCTAATACATTTTAATTCTCTCTCTACTTTTCCCTTGAACTTACATCCCTCCACTACCATTAACCTGTACCACATGTTAATTGTGGGTTTTATTAGTCATTTAACTCCCCTTTTAATAATTTTTTGTGTTTTCATTTAATATTATAATCATATATAAGGATTATCTAGCCCTAACTCCAGTTTAGGCCATTCGATGATAGTCTTTATTCCCCACAATTTTCCTATTCTGTAATCTTGATTTTGATTTATCTGATGATGACTGGAACTAAAATTTTAAGAACTCTTTCTTAGAAAAGATGCACGTGTGTTAGATTTTCAGCCATTAATCTCTGAAGATGACTATTGTCTGGAGGACAACTTCTTTTGGAGTATAGTTCTTGAATCATGCCCTTTGTTTTATCTTTAAAACTCTATAAATGTCTGTGTATAAACTTTGATGTTTCAGGTTAAAGGAAAGTATAAAGCTAGCATGAATTTTTTGTTCCTTTGTTGGTAACATATTTTTTTGGCCAAGATGGATGCAAGATTTTCCTTTTCTTTTAAAAATTAAAAACGTTTCCAAGCATAATTGTGTTCCTTTAATTAATTTTTCCTGGAACATGGTAAACATTTTGAACATTTTTTTTTTTTTGGCAGTTTTTGTCCAGGGCTGGGTTTGAACCCACCACCTCCTGCATATGGGGCCAGCGCCCTACCCCTTTGAGCCACAGACACTGCCCAACATTTTGAACATTAAAACTTAATTTTTTTCTTAGCCAAAGAAGGCATTTTTTTAATGCTTTTATCCATTTGTTCAGAGTTTCTCTTCAAATTATTACTCTCATGCTTCAAAGCTGTCATTTTCTCTCTCATTGTTTTTATTTCTACATGCATTTCCATTCACATACTGCCTTCTGTATATTAGGAGTTCTTTTTCTCTTTTTTTTTTTTT